CCCGGCCTAGCGCGCCCATCCCGCCGCTGAGGCCGGGGAAAAGGGCCCCGGAGGTTGGGAACCTTCAATCGGGCGTGGTGGGGGGCGCCCGCCAGCTCTGGGGTCTGGAGCGCAGGACGCCCCCTCCCAAGAGGCTATCCAGGACCCCCTCCCCTCCTGATTCGAGGAGGGGCTCCGGTATTGTTCCCACCTCCCGCCTGGGGTCGGGAGTTCAGGAGGCCCTGTCCTCAAGAGGGGGATCTAGGGGGTCCCTCTTCCCCCAGGACCCTAGGAAGGGTACCAGCGATTGTCCCCCTCCCCCTCCAGTCTTGGGGTCTGGAGTTCTGGAAGCTCCTTCCCCTGGAGGTGATCCAGGGGGTCCCCCTGCCCTCACCCCTGGGAACTCAGGAAAGACTTCAGTGATTTCTCCTCCCACCTTCCAGCTAAGAGATGGGAATTGAGGGGACCCCTTCCCCTGGAGGTAATCTAAGAGTTCCTCTGTCCCCGCAGGAATGCAGGAGGGGTCCCAGGTATTGTTTCCCCCGCTCTCCAACTACGGGTCTGGGTTGAGGACCCCCTGTCCAGGAACTCGGCTCTGTTTGCCTGCACACTCCCAGCTATGGGGTTGTGGCTCAGTGTATTCCCCTCCCCAGAAGGGGAGCCACAGGTCCCCCCAACACCTTCTCCTAGGAGCAGATCATTCATTGTTGGCACCTCAACACCCAGCCATGGGTGGGGAGCTCAAGGCCTCCCCACCCCAGGCAGGTCATCCTGGGCTCCCCTTGCTCCCCAGAAGTGGTTCCAGCTTTTGTTCCTCTACCTCCCAGCCTGCCCCTAGTCACAAACTGGGAGTTCAGTTCAGGATCCTTCCTGCAGGAAGGGCCACAAGTGTGCTGACACTACCCGCCACATCCCAGCCATGGGAGGAGATGGCTCAGGCGTTTCCCCAGTAACTTCAGAGGGTCCCCAGGTATGATTCGTGCCCATCCTCCAGCTAGAAGTTAAAATTCAGGACCTTCCAGCCAATAGTGAAAACAGGTATACTGGCCAGGCATGGTGGCTCATGCCTGTAATCACCATATTTTGGGAGGCTGAGGCGGGAGGATCACTTGAACCCAGGAGTTTGAGTCCAGCCTGGGTACCATACCAGGACCCCATCTCAAACATAAATAAATAAATAAAACAGGTATACTAACAACTGTCCCCACCCTCCTGCCTATGGGGTTCATGAGTCTCCATGCCCACCCCTCCTCACCAGGAGGGGTCCCAAATATCACTCTACCGTGCTCACCATCTGGCTGTAGGAAAGGGCATTCCTGATCTAAGAGAGAGGATTTGACACTGACTCCCACCTGGCGCTGTGAGCTCTGGAATGCAGGTTTTCTTCTCCCCAGAAGGCAAGCCAGGGTCTTCTTGTCTTTCCCCAGTGACTTGGGAGGGATGCCAGACGTTATTTGTTGCATATTCTTATCCCCCAGACATGGGTTCTAGAGCTCAGAATGCTGCTGCTGGAGGGGGGGCCTCCCCTACCAGAACTCCCCCCGATAAATTAAGCTGCCACCCCCAAGTATAGGACAAGAATTCAGCCATGTGCTCAGGAGCACAAGAACGCTGACACCCACACTGTTCCCCATGTGGTGACCTCCAGCAAGGTGGTAGGAACCCAGGACTGTCTCCTCCGCAGGACCCCAGCTTCCCACAAGAGGAGCCCAGGATGGAGAGAGGGGCAGAGCCATGGAGTTGGGGACTAGAAACCTCTAGTGCCGGGTCTCATGACCTCTGTCCAGGTTCGGGGCTGAAAGGGGAGGGTCCTACCATGTCCCACCATGTCCCACCCGGGTCCCTCAACTCCCTGCCCTGGCTGGGGTAAGTCAGAAATCTCCCTGCAGTCAGAGACGAGGGAAACATCCACGTGTATGCTCAGAAGTGAGTGGGGTTTGGCCAGGCACAGTGGCTCATGCCTGTAATCCCAGCATTTTCTGAGGCCGAGGTCAGAGGTTTGCTTGAGTCCAGGAATTTGAGACCAGCCTGGGCAACATAACGACACCCCATCTCAAAAAAGAGAGAGAGTGAGAAAGGAAGGAATGAAGGAAAGAGAGAGGGAAGGAAGGAAGGAGAGAGGGAAGGAAGGAAGGAGAGAGGGAAGGAAGGAGAGAGGGAAGGAAGGAAGGAAGAAAGGAGAGAAAGAAAGAAAGAAAGAAAGAAAGAAAGAAAGAAAGAAAGAAAGAAAGAAAGAAAGAAAGAG